TCAGGGATTCAAGGGGTTTAGGCCCGTAAGACATAAGAAGTGCACAAAAGTATAGAAGCCTTTCAAAGGAGTTCATTTCGGACAGCCGGCGCCTTTGTTCTTTTCGGATCGGGCCCTGCTGCCCTACTTGAAGGTTTAAGGGTAGGTCAAAGTCGGGTTCTTACAGCACCTAAGGCCAAACGATCATGTCATGCGTGCTACATTACTAGCACGCGCAACTCATGACCTGTATCGTGCAGCAACTCCCAGCTTGCAACCTACGCTTAGAACTTCTCGCATATAACAGAACGTTCTGACTTGTTCGAAGCCCGAAGCCCTCAACCCTAAACCCCAAACATACATCTACTTTGTAAGCAGCGCTAGCAATCCTGAAACGTGAAACAAACAGCATGGGAAGCTAGCCTAATCCCGACAGGCCAGGTAGGGTTTAGGGTTAGGGTTTAGGGTTTAGGGTTTAGGGTTTAGGGTTTAGGGTTTAGGGTTTAGGGTTTAGGGTTGAGGGCTGAGGGTTGAGGGTTGATGGTTGAGGGTTGATGGGTTCATTGAGCCTATCTGGCTGGCTGACAAGGTACAGGGCTGGGACATCGCCCGGCGATGCGATCACGGCTCCAGTACCATTGACATTGAGGTTGCGCAGGAAGAGCTGGAACATCTTTTCCTCAAAAGAAAAAAGCAAATTCTCTGACTCATAAACTCCCGTAAATAACAACGTACTCTAATATAAACCCTTCTAAAGGAGGGGAGCTGCTCTCTGACTCAAGCTCCTTTTGAGGGGGTACGTACTGTAACATGGGCCCTGGGGGTGTAGGGTGCCCCAAAAACGGGACAACTAGAGAGATGGTCTAGTGAGACTGAGGCATGGGCTGTGGGTGTTGGGCCGTCAGCGTGCTTTGCATCACAGAGACTACACATTAAACGCCAAGTTCGCGTTTAGAGTTTAGAAAGGTGGAATGACAGCAACGCCGGTACCAGAAGTTTAAGGGCAAACCGCCATCTTTCCAACAAGTGGTTGAGTCTAGGTATGAGACAACCCTCAACTCCAAAAACCTACACCCGTCCAGCACCCAACCGAAAACCGCACCCACCACCCGGAACAAAAACCCAGAACCTCCCCGCCCCCAACAGCAAAAGGCACTATGAAACGACACACGTCAGCACTATCCTCACCATTTCACCGACAAACCCCTGCGAAACCTCATAAATCCACCATTGAGCCCCCTAAATTTATACCCTAAACCCTAAACCCTAAACCCTAAACCCTAAACCCTAAACCCTAAACCCTAAACCCTAAACCCGACAAGTCGTAAGCTCCCTCCCCATTCCGCCACCCAAAAGCAGACAAGCCGGGCGCCTCCTCATCGAAGCTGAAGGGCGCTTCATCTTTGGGACCTGTGGATTTAGGGTTTGGGGGTTTAGGGGTTTAGGGGCTTAGGGGTTTAGGGTTTAGGGTCTAGGGTTTAGGGGTTTCGGGGTTTTGGGGTTTAGGGGTTTAGGGGTTTAGGGTTTAGGGTTTAGGGGTTAGGGTTAGAGGTTTAGGGGCTTTGGGACTAGGGCTTTAGGAGTTCAGGGGTTTGGGTGTAGGGTTTCGGGTCATCTGATGGTTAAGAGCTTAGGGTCACGCGTTGCCCACAAGGTTTCGTTGAGTCGGGTTTTGGGTCTGAGAGCCTGCTTGGGTTTTTGCGACTTGGGATGCCCCAACGGGTGCTAATTGATTCAGGCTTGGTTTAGGGTTTAGGGTTTAGGGTTTAGGGTTTAGGGTTTAGGGTTTAGGGTTTAGGGTTTAGGGTTTAGGGTTGGTCTTCATGGCCTATGTCGTGCCTAAGTTTGCTGTCAGGGTATGCCAAACCCTAGACCCGAAACCCTGAGCCCCAAACCCTAAACCCTTGAACCCACCACGGCCACGCCGACACTGGCACGGCTACTTAAAGAATTATGGGAATGAGGATCGACCTTTGGTTATACATGGGGGAATCATATTTGCAATAGCAATACTCGTGCAAAAACACGAACGGTAAAATGAATAAACATAGCAATCAGAATACTCACAGTGCCAATAACACTTGTAACAAAGTAATCATCATCATAATGATAACAGTGCAGTGGGCGTGCAAACCGGCACCGAGAATTGTTTTCGCAGGCTTGCCCGACTTGCTCTGGCCCCTTAGGGGAAAACCATATTGCCCCACTTGCCCCACTTGGTCTTTGATGACCGCTAAGCGATTTCTGCCACTTGCCGCGATTGCCGCTTGCCCACTTGCCCCACTTGCCCCACTTGCCCAACTTGCCCCACTTGCGGGAAAGGGTGGGGGAAAGGGTCGGGGAAAGGGTGGGGGAAAGGGTGGGGGAAAGGGTAGGGGAAAGGGTGGGGGAAAGGGTGGGGGAAGGGTCCGGGAAGAGAGGGTGGAAGAACGGTGAGACCCATGTCGCGGCTCTAGCTCCAGCCACAAGTCTGCCTCAAAGACAACCCGGTGTGAGGCAGACTTGTGGTTGGGGTGAGCACGGGGTTTGCTGCTCGCCCGCCCGACACCATCAGTGCCACGCCCACATCAGTTGAAAAACAAGGAAATCCATCAATACAGCCTGGCCGGAATCCGGAACGGCACGCCTGTACGGTAACGGACGCTCTTAAATCCAAATTTCAGAAAGGCTACTGCGCGCAAGGTTTATATACCTGTGTTACTTGTGGCCATCCCACGTGGGGCCATACGCAGGCTCCAGCATTTCACACGGAGTGATGATGCACTCCACTCCACTCCAAGCTGTAGGGTTACCCTTGACTGGACTCGCTGCTGTGGGCAGATGCATGTTTTTTCACTCATGACTGCCGCAAAACCTGTGCGCGTGTGAACAACAGTGGCGTGGTGCGAATGGGAACGATTGCCCGTCAGACGACTGAAGTGCAGTGAAGTGAATCAAGCATCATGCTTAGGCAGTTGTCCGATGAAACGTGTTCCGCTTGTGGCAGCAGAAGCAGATGACAAGGCATCTGAGGGCCGGGGGGGCAAGTGGAGCAATATCAGCTAGCTCTTCCGGGCAACCTATTGGGGGAAGTGAGGCAAGTGGGTCAATGTCGAATAGTAGTGGCCGTGAGCGCTGCAATGTAACAGGGCTCACGAAACAAACAGTAGTAAGCAATGGGGGGGGGGGGGGGGGCGAACCAAGCCAAAGCTAACTTTTTTGTGGGTCGCTCAGGGCTATGAGGTCTTGTGAGGGTTTTACGGTAACGTGTGAGGGTCCCTTTTCCCGACTACACTCTTGCAAAACTCCGCACCTGAAGCAGATTGGCTCCTCTGGGATGACATAATGTCCCTAAGCTCTAGACTTTCTCTGCTTTTCTCAGATGTGAGAAGCCCATGTACGTGCGCCCCAAAGGGTTTCAGCGGCCGCCTAAACCCTTCGCGCTTACAAGCCCCAACCCTGAACCTTGAACCCTAAGCCCCAAGCCCTAAACCCTAAACCCTGAAACCCGTAAAACCTTAAACCCTAAACCCTGAACCCCAAACCCGAAACCCTAAACCCTAAACCCGAAACCCTAAACCCTAAACCCGGAAAAAAAAAAAAAAAAAAAAAAAACCGCAAAAAGCACGGAACTCCCGGAGGAGCTGCTCCGGCCTTGGAGGGCGACGAAACATGCGCCCACCGCGTCCACGCAAACCAGGAGCAGCAGGAGTATTCTCATCTGGGATGGTGGGTTTAGAGTGTAGGGTTTGGGGTTTAGGGTTTGGGGTTTAGGGTCTAGGGTTTGGGGTTTAGGGTTTGGGGTTTAGGGTCTAGGGTTTGGGGTTTAGGGTTTGGGGTTTGAGAGTTTCCAGTTCAGGGGTTTGAGTTTCGGGCCGAGCCCGCGAGTCCGCAGGATGCGCCGCCATCCCCTCTTCTCTGGAGACTAACCCTAAACCCTAAACCCTAAACCCTAAACCCTAAACCCTAAACCCTAAAACCCTAAACCCTAAACCTTAAACCCTAAACCCTAAACCCTAAACCCTAAACCCTAGACCCTAAACCCTAAACCCTAAACCCTAAACCCTACTTGGGATGCGCCCCGTCGTACTAACAGTCCGTCAGTAGGTATTATGGTAGGGGGTACTATAATCCCTATATATCCCGATTAAGGACTGTTCGTATAAGGGGGAAGATCTCAAGGTCGAAGTGCCAAAAACCAACCCTAAACCCTAAAACCCAATCCGTCATGCTCAGGGATGAGCACATAGGGGGTTTCCGAATTTGAGGGGGTACCTTACTGGGGCCCTTATTATTATAAGGGAACTCCTACTATTTGGGATCGAAAGTAGGATGCCTCATGTTCGTAAAGACCCACATGTGCCGAGCTGCCCCAGAAGCAGCTCCGCCGACCATCGGCTCCGCTGAGTTTCCGGGCAGGGATGACGTTGTGTGCTAGAGGGTTTAGGGTTTAGGGTTTAGGGTTTAGGGTTTAGGGTTTAGGGTTTAGGGGAGTAAGCAGTTGAGTAAAGAGTCCTACGAGTAACCCTTGACTTCAACCTTAACCCCTTTATAAACCCCTAGGACCCTAAACCTAAAGTCCACTTAAACCCCAAGCCCTAAACACAAATCCCTAGACCCAATGGGGGGGACTGCGTTTGCTTGGGCATTGAAGATGCAGTTTTGGAGAGGCAGGTGTAAAGCTTCATGTGTGTCGAGCAATGGACATGCAAACAGGTGGATGTTGGCGTGTATCATGCCTTGGAGCTCGGGTTTAGGGATTTAGGGCCACATTTTCAAGCGATACACAAGTGGTAGGAATGGCACAGCTGCATAAGTATGGAGTCCGGCAGGTTTCGTCACAGCCAACTGCTAGTCATCCGTATTTGGCACGGGCGTCTACATCCCCCGCGCACGCATCTTGCGAGCATCCTGTCTTTGGGCTACCGCATTCAACTGCTGGCTTTGAGCAGGCACTCTCGTTAACTCACAGCCATCGCCATGCACTGCAGGTCTCTCAACATCCTAAACCCTGAGCAAAACCCTGAAACCTTCGGCTTGCGTCAGCTGTAGCGTCGTAGGAGCTCTCCTGGGTGGTCGCAACTGCTTGAATGCCGGCGCCTAGAAGATTCTCGAGTGGCCCATGTTTTTTTGCAGGTTGTCTTTTGACTTTCAGCCCTTGGCCCGGCGCCCCTGAACCTTCTCAAGGCGTCATCGAGCACATGGGGCTCCCTAAGCCGTAAACCCTAAACCCTAAACCCTATAACCCTAAACCCTAAACCCTGGATTTAAGATCCTCTTGGCATCCCTGCGGATGTTAGCAACCTTAGATCCCCTATAGCGCTCTTAGTAGTCCTTATTATGAGCCCCTTAAGTGGGGAACCCCTCACAAGGGTAGTTACATGTAGCATGGGCCCTGAAAATGAAACCTGTAAAGGAGGTTAGGGACCATATTAAGGGCCCATGAAACTACCCTCAGACGTATACCCCTTTTCTATTCTATAAAGCAGAAGGCCCATACTTCAGAACCCTTTAAGGAAGGCAAGAGACCATATTCCTGTAACCTCCCTTAGAAAGGCACCCAAGCGCCATGTCCGCGATGTAATTCCGTTTATTTCCTTGTATGATCCCGGAAACCCTAAACTCTAAACCCGTAACCCTAAACCCCCATTAGCCCTATAAACCCAAAACCCGAAACCCAAAACCCTAAAGATTTCGGAGCTGGCGTCCCCTGAAGATCTCAGTGTTGAGGTCTCTCCCATTGGTGCAAAGTGTCTCGGAACTTCTGCGACCTTTGCTGAGAACCTTTGGAAGTGCGGCCCCTAAATCCGAAACCCTAAACCCCAAACCCTAAACCCTAAACCCTAAACCCTAAAACATGCAAGAGCCCTTGGCGAGATGACGCAGCCACGTTGAGGACGCTGACTCCTGAATCTTCCAGACGCCTCAACCACAAAACCCTAAAACCGTAAACCCTAGAACTCTACAACCCTAAAAAACCCTTACAACCCTAAAACCCTAATTAAAACCCTACAACCCTAAAACCCTGCAACCCTAAAAGCCTACAACCCTGAAACCCTAAACCCCAGAACCTCGAAAACTCCATAAACCCTGAAAAACCCCAAACCCCTAAAACCCTAAACCCCAGAACCCTTCAAAACTCCATAAGCGTCAAAAACCACCAAAACCCCCAAAACCCTAAACCCCAGAACCCTCTAAGACTCCATAAGCACTACATCTCCCCAAACCCCGAGAAACACTGGAACTCCCCAAACCCCAGAACCCTCTAACACCCCATAAAACACTAGAACTCCCCAAAGCCCATAACCCTGAAAGAACCCTAAAACCCCATAAACACTACAACTCCCCAAAGCCCCTGGAAAACAATATCCGAGCCCCGCGCGGATGTCCAAGTCCGCCAAGAGGGCGGCCTCGGATGCCTCAGAGCCGCCGTGGAGGCCTTTCAGGAAACCGGGAAGTTGTTTGTTGTTTTGTAGCTTCTATTATGAATATATTGATTTTGTATTGTCATTTTTATTCTTGTTATTATTATTATTATTATTACTCTTATTATTATTATTACTATTATTATCAGTATGATGATGATTATTGTTATTATTATATGTGTTATTATTGTTGTTATGAATATAATTTTTATTAATAGTATTTTATCCATATACATATCTGTACACTATGTATAGATATATCTATACCTATATATATATATATATACAGATGTAAAATATACATATAGATATAGATGTCTTTATCTTTGGGGGGGGGGGGGGGGTGGGTGTTTGGGGTTTTAGGGCTTTGGGTTCAGGGGTTGTAGGGGTTGAGGGTTTCAGGTGTAGGGTTTCGGGGTTTAGGGTTTGGAGGTTAGGAGTGTAGGGTCTAGGCTTAGAGTTTGGGAGTTTGGGAGTGGGGAGGGGTTAAGGTTTACTAGGGTCTAGGGCTCGGGGTTACTGGCACTTGACCTGAGTTGAAACCCCTGGTAACTGGATGGACGTTCCTTAACAAGAGCCCAGGTGAGGGAACAGGGGTCAAGGGTAGGGTGTCTACGGGGGACCCCGAAGAAATGGCATCTAGTAACTCTACATCTACATGCCCCGCCAGACGAAGGCATTGTTTAAGGTTACAGCCTAGGGTTATACTCCTAAACCCTAAACCTCAAACCTCAAACCCTAAACCCTAGACTCCACCAGCAGCCCAAGCTTTCCCGTAACCCCCTAACCCTCCAACCGCTCCAGCCCAAACTTAAACCCCTACATACCTGTCCAGAAGTTTGAAGTAAGGTGTAGGGTTTAGGGTTTCGGGTTGAGTTTATATGGTTTAGGGTTTAGGGCTTCAGGACTTCAATCCGGTTCTTGTAAGCATGTTTTTCTTAAAAGAGGGTGCCCTTTTTGGGTTTAAAGGGGCTTATATGGCAACCTATAACTTCTAAACAGAGGAAATATGGGCCTGCTCTGGGTCCTAGTTTCGTGTCTTGAGGATACCCAGTAAAGCAGGTACCACTGAGGGTCCTAGTCTACAAGGTTTGAGGTCGTGTTGGTGACCTGTTAGCGGACGAATCGGATGTGTGCGGGAACGCTCTCTGCGTTGTTTTACGGATTCGGAATCTGCCAGGAATGTGCAATCCAGGCTCCCACAATACATTGGCATGTCGTGGCGTGTTCTCAACTAGAACGCGACCCAGCAGAGCTCCCGTCCTACAAACAAAGATCAGGAGCCTGTTAGTATACTACCCTAAACCCCAAACCCCACATCCTAAACCCCAAAAAGCCCTAAACCCCCAACCCTAAACCCTAAACCCTAAACCCTAATTTGGGGCTTAGGGCTTGACGCTCTCCCTACAACCCAAGACCACCAAAGCCTCGCCGCTGCCGCAGCGCTGCCAGGGGAGCGCCGGCCATGGCCCCACCGCGCGTGAGGACACTCCCTGCCGAGTTCGGGTTTCGGGTTTCGGGTTTAGGGTTTAGGGTTTCGGGTTTCCGTCCTTTCGGGGTCCTATTACGAGGCGGCCCGCAATGTTTAGGGCGCCCAGAATTCCAAAAAGGGGACAGTCATTTAAAGAAACTCACAGTCTGGGCTTTCAGGGCAATCTCCTGAAACCCGAAACCCACAAACTGATCCTATTCAGGTAGGGTTTAGGGTTTAGGGTTTAGGGTTTAGGGTTTAGAGTTTAGGGTTTAGGGTTTAGGGTTTAGGGTTTAGGATTTAGGGTTTAGGGTTTAGGGTTATGACATGCTTGCGGGCTTGCAACACAACGGGCACCTCTAAGCCGGCCTTGGGTTTCTAGGCCCTGAACCACCACACAAAGTTTAGGGTTTAGGGTTTAGGGTTTAGGGTTTAGGGTTTAGGGTTTAGGGTTTAGGGCTAGGGTTCGGGGCTTAGGGTTTAGGGCTTAGGGGTTTAGAGGGCTCTGAAGATCATGCAGCGGAAGCTCCCAAACCTAAACCCTACAACCTCAACGAGGTTGTGAACCCCCAACCCTATGTGTGTGTGTGTATATATATATATATGCACTGGGATGATCCCCTTATGATAACAGTCCTGAATAGGAGTCATAGTAGGGGCAACTATAGTCCCGTTTAAGGACTGTTAGTATAAGGGGCAACATCCCAATGCATATGCACTTGCTACGAGGGTTTAGGGCTGAGGGTTTAGGGTTTAGGAGTTTAGGGGTTTGGGAGTTTAGGGTTTAGGGTTTAGAGGTTTACGGGTTTAGGGGTTTAGGGGGTTAGAGGGTTAGGGTTTAGGGGTTTAGGGTTTAGGGGTTTAGGGTTTAGGGGTTTAGGGATTTAGGGATTTAGGGTTTTAGGGTTTAGTGTTTCTGGGCCTCCTTCGGCCACCCGCGCTGGTGGCCTGAGGAGGAAGCCCTCAGCAGACGAAGTGACCTCAGCACGGCGCGTGTCAAGACTTTCCCCTAAGGATCCATGTACCTATTTAGTTTTAATCTTGGGCCTTGAAGGGGGTTCCTATATAGTAGCTTTGGGGCCCAAGTATATACCATATAGGTACATGGATCCTTAGGGTTTCATGATCATTTCATGCGCCTCTCTCACTCTCACTCCCTGCTACTAGGGTAGGGGGCCCTAAAATTATGACTTGTTTTGTGGCCTTTTAAGGATTAAAAAGGGATTGTAGGGGATACTAACACTTAACAATTGTGTTCAAATCAACCCCTGTCTAAGCAGCGAGATGGAGGGAAACCGCTGCGCAGGAGCTCCTTTGGTTGGATGCACATACATATATACCATGGCTCGTGCATGTGTTTTGCTCACGCAGCAACCAGTTTCAGGCCATGGGACGGGAGGATGTTGGGTATGAGGTTTCGGATGTAAGGGCTCGAAATTGGGTTGACAGGTACGGGCTTGCAACAGCTCCTTTGAATGCTAGGCGAGCTTCAAGCCCCCTAAAAATATTCCCAGCCTCTTAATCCCAATAAGGGAAAATGTAACATGCCTCAAGAACCTACCTAGTCTCCGCACCTCTCCTAACGGCACTCGGCCCAAGACCCAACATGGATGAAGCACTCCGCCTTCGCACAGCAAAGCCTGTGGCGTCAGTTCCTTTCTTGCAGACTGCTCGGCACGGGTGGGCCCAAACGTGCGCCACCCGCCCCGCTCCCCGGCCGCAGGCTGCCTCTCAGGATTGAAATGTCCGGAGACAGCCGGGCCAGGGCCCAGGTCTGTTCTTACTAAGGGGTAGAAGGAGGGACCCCTACAAGGGACCCTTAATCTTATTCCCCTGTATAACCCCTATATATACCTTAGATAGCCCCTTATAAGTCTTATAAGGGTCCCTCCTCTAGTCCCTTGAGCTTAGGTGCACCGCTTCCCAAAAGAAGCCGTGCAAACTATGACAGGGGATCTGCTGGAAAAGACATGGTACTCAGAGTATCTACATGATACTGCTGTATCTTAAGCGCTGTAGTAAGCCGTGCCCGGCACCAACTGCCTAGTACTGCGCTCAGACCACGATCTGTGCAGACTTGGCTTTGCAGTTGTCACCGCCCTCATGGCAGTGCACCTGAGCAGTGGGTTTTAATGCACTCTATTCTTATGTAATATTGATGATTTGTTTCATGTGCTGATATAGTCTACAACATGTTTATATACACTCATATTATTGTTCTATGTGTATACCGTCATTTGTATTTAAGTTCAGTGTTCGATTGTTGCAATACTAGAAAAGGCTTAGTAGCACACTATTGCAATCTTGAAATACTATAATACACTATCACATTCCAGTATTTTTCTAAAGTATTGTAGAAGGATGATATCACATTTTTGCACTAATACAAACGGAGAATATGAAAAAACAAAAAAAACATAATACGAGAATATTATAGCATGAGAATATTCGATTATTCTGCTGCCTTTATTATTGTATATCATTAGCGTATTCTCAATTTGATATACTACTACTAGAGCATTACATTATGTTACCATTATATTGCTACATTCTTCTGTTATTGTATTGGAATATTATGCTATAAAGTTTTGTTAATATTATATCAGTATGTTGCCATATTTCATATTAACAGATTGTTTCTTATATTGTTATGTGCTGACATTATTCCATTATATTCTGATATAATTATAACATTCTAATACAACCTCTGATAGTTGCATATTTTCATGTTTCTCAGATTTTTACACTCTAATACGATTGATTATGTTAGTATATATAAAAATAGGCATGTTCTCTATATTCACATATTCATGTTGCTATATGGTTAGATGAAAATATTTACATATTCTTATAAGTTGAATTAGTATACACTGTCTGGGGTCATGTGGTCACTGACTCTGCGGGGCTGGAGGTACGAGCCTTGGTCGCCCAGCAACCATATTACAATAAGGGCACCCTTTTTGGGGTTGGTTGCTTTCTGAGGGAACCATAAACCCTAAACCCTAAACCCTAAACCCTAAACCCTAACTCCTAAACCCAAACCCTAAACCCTAAAGCCCCTACATGCCTAAATCCCAACCAAAAGGGAAAAGGGTACCACTGGGCTGCCAGGGAGCCTGATTCTTCTTCTCCGCGGCCGTGAAGCTTCCGGGCACCGCCCAGGAGCACTGGTCCTCCAGCAGGAGGGCGCCCTTCGCGACGCGGAAGTAGCCCATCCTTTTTAGGGGCTTAAGGTTTAGGGTTTAGGGTTGTTAGGGTTTAAGGTTTCAGGTTTAGGGTTTAGGGTTAAGGTTTAGGGTCTAGGGTTTAGGGGGGGGGGGGGGGGGGCAGACATCGTTGAAAAAAGGGGGATTTGTTTCGGGCTGACCCAAACAAGACAAGGGAAGACACAGGACTGCGCATCTGCCCGAGCGTCTCGCCCCAGTACTCACCCCATGAGTTGCGGACGATCCAGAACATTCCTTGGTAGCCCAGGAACCATATTACTATAAGGGGGCACCCCTCTTTTGGGGGTTGGTTATTTTATAAGGTAAGCCCTAAACCCTAAACCCTAAACCCTAAACCCTAAACCCTAAACCCTAAACCCTAAACCCTAAACCCCTAAACCCCTAAACCCCTAAACCCCTAAACCCCTAAACCCCTAAACCCTAAACCCTACACCCCAAAAAAGGGGTACTGCTGGGCTGCCGCAAGATGCCGTCCTTGGGGTCCGTGCCCCAGCCCACTACAGAGACCACGTGGTCCACGCCCTCGCCCTTGGTCTTGATGATGCCGGACTCGTAGTTCAGCAGGGGGTTGGCGTCCACACCGCACCTAAGGATGGCCCTTAAAGAACCCTCTGAAAAAATGCTCCTGAATATTCTGATCCTCTTAGAGGGAAGATATAAAATGATTCCTGATGTATGATCCTCTTAGACCCAATATAAGGGACTGAACAAATGATTCCTGAAGTATGATCCTCTTCGACCCTATATAAGGGAAGATATAAAATGATTCCTGAAGTATGATCCTCTTAGGCCCAATATAAGGGACTGAACAAAGGATTCCTGAAGTATGGTCCTCTTAGACCCAATATAAGGGAAGATACAACATGATTCCTGAAGTATGATCCTCTTAGACCCAATATAAGGGACTGAAAAAAATGATTCCTGAAGTATGATCCTCTTAGATCCAATATAGGGAAAGATATAAACTGTCCCTGAAGGGCCAATATAAGGGAAGATATAGAATGTCCCTTAAGGGCCAATATAAGGGAAGATATAAATAATGTCCCTTAAGGGCTAGGACCTAGGCGCGAGATCGGACCACGGTGGAAGATCTCCTTCATCATGGCGTCGGCCCCCGAGATGGAGCCGTAGTCCGAAATCGTGGCGTTGGGGAACCTATACTCCCCCTAAGAACCTTAATAAAAATACTATTTTCCTTCATAAAATTACTAATTTTCCTTAATGAAAAACACTATTTTTACATGTCCTCTTTTGGGTTTTATGTAAGCAAAAAAAAACTCATCAACAAAAAAACAAAACTCCCAAGGGGGGAAAAAGGAACTCGCCGAGGCCGGTGCAGGGCCCGCCCTCTTGGGAGAAGCTGCCGCAGGTGCGGGCCACGTTCAAGGCCTTGCAGGACGTGTCCACGTGCTTGCAGAAGCCCTCATCGGAGTCCGAAGTGCAGGCGACGTAGGGGTTCGCCGTCTCGTAGCTGATGCCGGTGCCCTTCTTGGAGAGGTCCATGAGCCACTGGTAGGGCCCGTCGACGCTCCCGCCCTTGCAGGTGCCCACGCCGCCGCAGTTCAGCAGGTGCTGCACTGCGAGGTTGATGTCCACGCCCTGTGCGTTGCGTGCGATCTTGATGCGGTCGCCCAGCGCTGAGATGGCGCCGTGGGCCCAACCTGGTAGAGCACTCGCCCCCCCCCCTGAATGTATGTTATAACCCCGGTGGCTTCGAATAAGAACATTTTCGCTGAGAAACGCACTGGTTCAATTTCAAAAGTCAGTTTGTTGTTTGGGGGCGAGGGGGGCGATTGATAGTTTTGTTTTTGTTTCCGGCCTGGCGCACGAGTGAAATCTTGTTGGTGTGGATAGCGGATGGTTGCAGGTTTTGCAGATGCTGGTGGTGCTACTGGTTCCACTTGTGATGCTTGTGTTTGTTGTTGCTTACACAGTTCTTTACGTCATTACTTATGTCGTCGTCGTCGTCGCCGTCGTCGTACAATCCCCATTAAGCCGAAAACGTAGTTGTCCCTTTTTGCAGTTCCCTTGAAAGGCTAGGAGAACAACGGAAATCTCCCCCAAACATGCTGTCAAGGAGCAAGAGCCGCAGTACTGCGGAATGTGCTGGTTGCGGGACATGGTGCAGTAGCTCTTGCCATCCTATAGGGCCCGAACAACCCCTAAACCCTAAACCCTAAACCCTAAACCCTAAACCCTAAACCCTAAACCCTAAACCCTAAACCCTAAACCCTAAACCCTGAACCCTAAACCCTACCACATGTATAAACCTAAGCGTGCTACAAACTGGCTTTGCAGAATGCCCCTTATGGGGTCCCTAAACCTAAACCCTACAGCCTTCCCTTCACCCTAAACCCTAAACCCTAAACCCTAAACCCTAAACCCTAAACCCTAAACCCGAATCCTTGTCGCACCAGGTGAAGTCCGAGGGCAGCTTCACAGCCTGTTTAGGGTTTAGGGTACAAGATCAGGGTTTAGGGTTTAGGGTTTAGGGTTTCGGGCCTCAAGCAGCTCGTGGGAGCTCTGGCTGGAAGCGTTGCCGCGCCAGACCACGCCCAGCTTCTCCACCTGGCACACCCCAAGACCGCCTTAAGCTAACCACCTGACCCCTAAACCCTAAACCCTAAACCCTAAACCCTAAACCCTAAACCCTAAACCCTAAATCCTAAATCCTAAATCCCAAACCCTACAAACCCTAAACCCTACAAACCCGACAAACCCTAAACCCTAACCCCTAAACCCCTAAGCCGTCCCAAAGCGACGTCAAGACTTCAGAGAAGCTCGAATCGAGCAGGGCCCTCAGTTCTACTCGGACGCCTCCGCGCGCGGCAGCAGCTCGGAACGGCGCGACTGTGTCGCGCAGGTGAACACGGCCGAAGGGAGCTTCTTGGCGTCCTCCTGAGCACGGTCGAGAATGATTGTTCTGCTTTCCCTCCCGACGCGTCCGAACATCTATGCAACCACTTCCAAAGCACGTTGTCCATCAGCCAAACGCCAGTGAACTAAGTGCCGAAGGCGTGGAGGCCGCGAGCATCCCTATGTCCTTCTCACCCGCAGCCCTGAAAACCAACACCGGAACGACCCGGCAGGGTTTATGGTTTAGGGTTTAGGGAGGAACAGTCCTTAGTGTAGCAGGCGCTGGGCACGGCAGCCGCCTCGCACCAGGTGCCTCAGCTCCATTCAAAGAGGGAGATACGACCCAAAGAACCCTATACAGAAAGGCCGTTGGCCCCCCAAAACCCTAAAATAGGAGTCCTTAGATCAAGAGACTAGAGGAGAAACCCTTATAAGGGAATGTGAGGTATATAGGTATATCCCTGAACCCTCAACCCTAAACCCCAAATGCTCCCTAAACCCTAATCCAAGGGGCACTTGGCATCTGCGGCGCAGTCCGACTTGGTTGTGTGCGCTGAGTGGCACGCGTCGTCTTGAGCTGCGGCATAACCGAAGCTTGCGATTGCCACGGCCTGGCACTGGTAGAGTTGAGGGTTCAGGGTTCAGGGTTTAGGGTTTAGGGTTTAGGGTTCAGGGTTCAGGGTTCAGGGTTCAGGGTTCAGGAATTAGGGTCCGGGGATTAGGGTTCAGGATTCTGACTGCTGAGCTCAAGAACGAAGCCTCTTCATGAAAAGCATTTGGACTTTAGGGTTGAGGGTCTAGGGTTTGGCTTGTTTGGGGTAGCCGGCCTTGAAGAACTTCATCCTGTTTGCTGGTCCGGGCAGGCAAAAGAGGGGTGCTGTGAAGGAATCTCAGCTAGTAGCGCCTCGAGCCGAAAAAAAGATCAAATCATGGGTTTAGGGTTTAGGGATTAGGATTTAACTAGGGTTTAGGGTTTAGGGTTTAGGGTTTAGGGTTTAGGGTTTAGGGTTTAGGGTTTAGGGTTCAGTGCAGGAAGAGCGGATAGCTCCGCGCTGCAGCCATCATGAACGTCATGAGCCTGCTTAAAGAAAAGGAAAGGCGATGTCAGGTTTCCGAAATTAGGGGAGTAGGGCAGGGTTTAGCATGTAGGGTTTAGGGTTTAGGGTTTAGAGTTTAGGGCTTAGGGTACCTTATTGGAATCCTGGGCTATTTGGGTGGGCGGGGGCTCCATATTAGGGGTCCCCTTTTTTCGTAAACCCCCGTGTGACAACACGGCATGGGTGCCTCTGGGCCTGTTTCAGCACACCTCGACGGCACAGACAACGACTCAACTCTGACATGCGGGTTCAGGGTTTGGGGTTAGGGTTTAGGTTTTAGGGTTTAGAGTTTGGGCTTTAGGGTTTAGGGTTTAGGCTTTAGGGTTGAGGGTTGAGGGTTGAGGGTTGAGGGTTTGGGGTTAGGGTTTGGGGTTTGGAGCCCGGGGTTGAAGGTCAAGACTAGTTGCCCCAAGCAAGAGAGCTGTCGCTACATGTGCAGTCGACTGGCAGTTAAGGCAATGTACCTAGGTTGCCCAGTAACCTAGGTTTCAGAAGGGTGCCCTTTTTTGCTTCAAGGGGTTTGAAAGGCAACCAAAATCCCGCCAAAAAGGGAACCCTGCCTTGGAGAAAACATGTTAGGTAGAAGTAGCGATAACAGGAAACAAACAAAGCGTCAAAGTAGAGTACTCCAAAACCCAGGGAATAAGGGCACTCTTGGGCATCCTAAACCCTAAACCCTAAACCCTAAACCCTATAAACCCTATAAACCCTATAAACCCTAGTGAGCCCTATTCCGAGCTCCCAGCCTGTTCCGAGCAGGGCGGGGGTGCGATGGACAAGGAAGGTTGGGGCAACGCAGCTCCTGCCGCCGCTTGGTGTCGATCCTACACCCTCAATCCTATATTCTGAACCTAAACCCCTAAACCCCTAAGCCCCTAAACCCCTAAACCCCAAGACCCCCTAAGACCCTAAACCCCAAGACCCCTAAACCCTCCACCCCTAAACCCCTAAACTCCTCAACCCCTAAAATGGGTTGGGCCTCAAGGTGGGTGTTGAGGGGTTTTGGGGTTTTGGGGTTATAGAGGTCTAGGGTTTAGGGTTCATTGGATGACCCTGAAAGCCTCAAAGCCCTGACTCTGGAGCCTCCCTGAACCCCTTAACCCCAACTTGCAAGAACTCCCCGCCCCAAACCCTGAACCCTGAACCGAATACCCGAACCACAAAACTCAGAACGCCGGATCTAAATCTCAGGGGGCCCTCCGCGCACCTCGCGGGGCAGCTTTCAAACGCTCGAGGATCAGCGCCTCCTGGAGGGCATGGGGTTTGCGTGTCTGGGGGCTTTGGGGGTTGGGTATTCAGGGTTAGGCCTTTCGGGGTTTTAGTGGCTTTGTGGTTTAGATTTTTCCGGCTTTGGGGGGTTTAGGCTGGATTCGTCAGAAGTTCAGGGTTTCAGGGCTTTTCAGGTTCTGTTTTTTTTTTTTCAGGTTTTCAGGCTGTTAGCTTTCAGAGCTTGGGGCGTTTGGGGTTTTGGGGTAATCTTAATCCCTGTTCCCCTAGGAAGAAAAAAGGATCCTTTTTGTTCATATATAACCCTAAACCCTAAACCCTAAACCCTAAACCCTAAACCCTAAACCCACACTGATCTAGTAATTGGGGTTTAGGATGCTACGGTTTTAGCGGTCTGAGGTTTCAGGGTTTGGCCTCAGGGTGTCAGGGTTTTGACAGTTGAGGGCTTCAGGGCTTGGAGCCCTAAACCCTAAACCCTAAACCCTGAACCCTGAACCCTGAACCCTAAACCCTACACCCTAAACCCTTCTAGAAGTTAGGGCTTCTAAACCCTACACCCTAAACCCTTCTAATTCTAGGAGTTAGGGCTTCTAGGGTTGCGGGCTTCTAGCGTGGAGAAAGTTCCGCGCTTCAGGTTGCAAGCTGTCGGTTTTCAGGATTTCGGGTCTTCGGAGAGAGAGAGAGAGAGAGAGAGAGAGCCTTGATGCCTTTAGGGTTTAGGGTTGAGGGTTTAGGGTTTGGGGTTTTAGGGTTTTCTAAAATGAAACTCCACCCCAAATCGGCCCCTAACATCTTGGAGTTACACGGACCAGGTTCCCTTGTGGTCCCGTTCTTTCGGGGATACGGAGCATGGGGCCCTTAATCTAAGGCCCCCGGTGCTTTTTTCACCCTTGTGTACACTCTTTATCATACAGGCCCATACTTCGGATCCCTATAAACAAGGGTAAGGGTCTCTGCGTTCTGGGTTCTGGGTTCTGGGTTCTGGGTTTAGGGTTTAGGGTTTAGGGGTATGGTTGTGACCTTAGATTCTTGTTTTCTCTCTTTTTTTCAAGTTCAGGGGACGGGACGAAGGGTTTGTCGGAACTTGGAGGATGAGAGGATGGCTTCTCGGCTTTCTGCTGTCCACCCTTCGTGAACCCTGAAGCCCAGCGCCCTATATCCTTTCATCCAAAAGTCCTAAACCCTAAACCTTAAACTCCTAAAATCCGAAAACCCCTCAACCCCTAAACCCTAAACCCT